GGCGCTGCGGGTGCTGTGCCGGCCCCTGAGCCCTTCTGGGCGGGTTTGGGCGCTCTCCTCTGTGCGGCTGGGCTGGGAGGAGCAGTCCTGGGGGCTGAGTGGGCAATCCCAAGAGGAAGGGCTGTGCTGCTTGCCTGGCTGCAGTTAAGGGAAAGGATCCAGGGCTCCGGGGTTGTCCTTCCTGGTGCTGGTCATGGTGTGACCTCTCCGGTGTGCAAGGGGAGGACGGGGCTGGGCCCTTGGAGGTGCAACATTGGTTTTCCTGGCTGTAGGAGCCCAGCATCCCCATCTGAGCCGCCATCCCCTGCGCATGCTGGGTTTCCGTGCCATTAGCAGCTCTCCCCTTGCACCAGTCACCATGCCGTGGCTGGAGTGGGTGCTGGGGGAAGCGAGGGGACAGCTTGGCAACGTCACAACCTCCCGAGCAATAAAAGCCAGGGAGTGAGATCACCCGGCGGCCGGCCGTGAGTCAGCCTCCCTGTGCAGCCCTGCCCGAAAGGCCCCAAGTAATTCCAGCCACCAACATGGTAGCCCCTGGCTCCTCGCACACCTCCCCTGGCCCCTGCCCAGGAAAATCCTCCTCTCTGAAGTTATTCTGGGACCTGGCGAGGGGGAAAATCTGATGCAGCTGGAGCTGGGTCATGCCTCGGCGCGAGGTTCCTGGGCAGGAGCTCCTCCGGCTGGTTTGTCCTTTGATTCTCACCCAGCGTTGTGCCAGCAGCGCAGCTCTGAGATGGCCCCGGTGCGTCGTCCTCCTCTGGTGCCCATCCCTTCCCTGTGATCCTACAAGAGCCAGGGCTGAGAGCAGCTTGGCACTAGGCTCTGCATTCCCTTCCTCAGTCTCATGGTGATCTCCGGAGTCCTTAAAAAAAATACGAGAACTCGGTTTTGAATGCTAGGTCTGCTCATCCCTCCTGAAGTAGGAGCAAAGTCCAAGGGAGATGCAATGTTTAGGGGCATGGAGCTGGGCCACCGCTCTCTGGGTTTAGATGGCTCTGCTGAGACCAGCTTCTCCCCCTGAGAAATGGGAGATGGTCACCACTCGAAGCAGCATTATCCCGATTTCCACTGAGATGGGAGCATCAGCTGCCTTCTCCTGTTGCAAAGCATGATGCAAATTCCAGCTGTGCTCACGGGAAGGCCCTCGATGCTGCTGGAGGGGCTTGGGATAGATGAGAAATGGCCCTGGGCATGGCTGCTCCTTGGACCCTTCCTCAGGGCCCCTGTGTGGAGCTCCAGGCTGTTTCCATCCCCACCTCCAGGATGGGACGTGATGTGTCAAGGGTGTTTCACCGGTGCTCACAGGATGCATGCTCTCTGCTTCAAACAGCTCATGCTGCATATTCAGAGGCAGCAAGGACTGAGTGTGTCAAATGCTGTTGTTCCTGGGGTGGAGGATGCTGCTCGAGTCCCTCTTGCCCTTCAAGCT